ATTTATAATTTCAGATTTTTTTTTTACATTTAGAAAAAAAACGTTTTGAACATATTGATGCAAAGATCTCCGCTATTCTGAGACCCTCACAGAGTTCCAGTCCCTTTTCAAAACTCATCTCTTCTCCTCTTGTCTACTCATAGCCCCCCCCCCATCAATCCATGCCGGTTGATCAAGTTTGATAGTCCTATACCCCCCACCCTAACCTTCCCTTATATTGTAAAGCGATTTTGAGTCCTTGAAAAGCCCTATACAAATATAATGTATTATTATTATTATTATTATTATTATTATACTGACAGGTATCAGATCAGGCTGTGTAAAATAATCTTCCTGAGAGGTGTCACTTGTGATGTCGTCTGTGTGGTCCACAGTGAATGTATTCCTGACAGCAACAGGTGATAAGAATCAAAGGTTCCCAATCCATAGGAAATGCATGCGGGTCATTTTTGACCCACTTATGGAAGCTTGGGGTAGAAATACAAAAACAAAAATTTCTTAAACTGTACATTTAAAATTTGAACGGCATGATATCCAAAACATGTTTTTTGAGGCATAGCTGGAATATGAAATGATAAAAAAATGCAATTACAAAGATACTTCAAGAAAACCACCTCACCGGGTCCAAAGAGACCCACTTATGCATCTAAGGGTTAAGCATGTAAATAAGCAATCACTGGTATTGAACTGGACAGCAAAACACTGACAAACAGTACAACAAAAGTGATGTGTTTTGGTAAACAAAGAGTAAGAACTGTACTTTTAACTCTATGTTGCAGGTGATTACCTTTCTAAAGAAAAAGGAAGGCTTCATAGGTCTGGTGCTGAAACACATTGACGCCTCTGCCATGATGGACCTGCTGCTTCGCCTCATCAGCTGTGTGGAGCCCGCCCCCTTGAGACAGGAAGTCCTCCATGTATGCCCTCTAAATATGTCTTCATGTAATACCCATAAGTAAACACCTTCTTTTAAAGTGTCTAACGCCATTTATGCTTCCCCCCCCCCCCAAGTGGCTGAATGAGGAGAAGTTGGTACAAAGACTCACCGAGCTCATCCACACTGGCAACGATGAGGAAGTGAGTTGTCATTATGAAGAAGCATGAATCAAAGTAGTGATCCGTTAATAATGTTTCTCTAATTCAATGATTCCTGTTTCAGAGACAATCAAATGCATCCCAAACGCTTTGTGACATCATCCGCCTTAGTCGAGACCAGGCCAATCAGATGCAGGAGAATATGGAGCCAGACCCACTATTGGCTGTTCTAGAGTCGTAAGTTTACCACGCCTTTTGGCACTCATTACATTTAGTCATTTGTGTAGGTGTCCTGTAAATGGGATGATGTTAGGCACGCAAAGGTTCCTCTGTCGTGAACCTTTGGGTCATTGTTCATTTGACTTTTTGATTGTTGTACCTTGTTGACTTTAAGGCGGTGTTTACACGAGAACAAAACCGGTTGTATCCGCTACTTTTCTCTCGCGTGTAGCCCGTTCGTTCACACGAGGCCGTAACGGAACCGCGGAAACGGTTTTCGCAAACGATAACGGGTCCCAAGGTGGATAGATCTGCAACCGGAACGCTCTGGGGGTCAAACGGCTCCGTGTGTACGTCCTATAAGATCATTTCCTGATAACGATGAAGCCATAGCCCCGCCTCTCCCCACCTCTGCTGCTCACTGCTGTAGCATGGTCAGTAGCTACTGCTAGTGCTACTGACCATGCTACAGATGTTAGTGCTACTGACCATGCTACAGATGTTAGTGCTACTGACCATGCTACAGATGTTAGTGCTACTGACCATGCTACAGATGTTAGTGCTAAATCTACAGCTCCTCTACCACAACCATCAGCAACAAGTGGACATGGAGAATTACATGAAATGCATGTTGCTAAATCCACCGCGGGGCATAAACAGAAGGGCAACCATGGCAACCATGCTCGGGGGTCTTCTTCGCTGCTTTTGGTGTATTTTGTGGCAGAAGTACAGCGCCACTTACAGGCCCGGCATATGTACTACAGTGTGTCCAGTGGTCTCGTTAAATGAGCCGAATGCGTGTGAACGGAATACTTTTTTGATAACGAACCGGTTTTGAACTTTTGACCTGAAGTGAATTTCTTTATTTGTGATGTGTGCCATGTTGTGAAAGCACTTTGAGCTGCACCTCGTGTATACAAAGTGCTGTACAAATAAAGCTTTTTTATTACTATAAAGGCACTATGACGAACACATTTGAGGTCAATCAGTTCAAATCTCTAGGAGAAAAGGATTATTTGTCTTTACAACATACATGTGCTTACAAAACGTTAATCCTTCTTCCTAAAAGTGTAGGCTTTTCCTTTGACAACTATTGGAGGTGCTTTCGAAACAATTTTCCACAGCGAACCCAGAGACCCATCATTATCATTTCAATAAGTCTTCTGCAACACCTTGGCTTTGTTTGATGACTAAGCTACGGAACATTTATTTCCTGTCTCTGCTGCCGATTAATGGCGTCACATAATTGAAAGGCCCTTTTTTATGTGTTTTCTTCTTTTTTTAAACGTCTGCTCCTACATGTCCACACAAGCCGGGATTGTAAGCCAACTATGCTATCCTCACTCTCGATTTGAAAAGTTATTTTATGAGGTCGTTGTGTGTGCAAGGATTTGCTGGCAGAGCCTGTTTGACAACAGCTTTTGTTTTTTGTCCAAGTTTCATTTTGTGCCCTTCATCTGTGAACAGCATCTCACCTATACACTGATTGTGCCACACCTTATTACGTGTCATCACCAGTTTGTTTATTTATTCTTATCTTTCAGGCAGGACAGTGTAGCCGGGCTCCTCAAGAACATGTTTGAGGGCGAGAGGAGTGAGGCCTCCTTTGTTAACGGAACTCAAGTGCTACTTACTCTACTGGAGACCAGGAGGTCTGGGTGAGTCAAAGGGTTTCCTGTCAAGCATTTCAATTATAAACGTTGCTTGGTTCATTCTGGTCCTTTGCTTCCTGGTCCTTCAGGATCTTAAGGGCTCATTTTCATTGACTGTTATAAGTTAACAAAGCAAGTAGGAAGTGCTCCTATCTGCTTATATATATTTGTTTAAACAGACTGATTTTTATAATGTGTCTCTAGTGGAGAGCGTTCATACTTTTAAGAGCAAACTTTTAATTTGGCTTTAACTTGTATTTTCTTCGTAATTATTCCTTTTTTATTTATGTATTTATTGAATTATTATTATTTTATTCCTATATTAATTGTTCTTTTGTTGTAGAAGCTACTTTGAGTTATCGCTGCGTATGAACATGCTATATAAATAAGTTTTCTATGTATTGTTTATTGTCTCGCGAGGTTGGAAGGGCTGAGTGGATCTGTTATTCTCGAGGGTTATGGAAAGGTCGTACACT